TCCATCTCATTCACGCACAAACTCAGCTATTCTCAAATATGAACTTTCCGAAGAGGCAAATAGTACCAATGCTTTGCAAAGTGCAGAGCTAGTGTTAAATTGCCAGCCTGATATAATCAGAGCTGACCTTCGCCTGGCTTTGTGTGCATTTCGGTTTCTTTCCACTTCCGCTTTGCCTGCACAAATAATACCAGTTTGGATGAGTTAGGAATATTAGCTTCAATATCAGAGAACACATTTTGCTTTTAATTGAGTGTCTCGTGCTGGAATGAGAGCCATATGTCACAGCTGCCCGGGGGCTGAAAGGCAGAGATCACAAAGGCTAATGCCAGGGTCTATCTCTAGGTCTCTCAAAAACAGGCTCAGTCACATTAAATCTCTGTCACCCACTCCAGGCACACCCAGACTCTCGCTGGAAACTCCATATATCCCTGAGTGTCTCTGTCCTCCAGGGAGATCCATTCTCCCGGCTCTGGCTTCCACTGCTCTCTACTTCCCGGCTTCATCCTTACATCTACACCATTTTTTTTTTTTGAAAGCCACAAGAAGTCCCTGATAGCCAACTAGATGTCTCAGAGAAGACGTGCTAGGAGCTGAAAGATATCCCGTGAGCACACCCAGGAGTGCCCACGTGTTAGCTCAAGACACCCACAGAGGGAGTCAGGAGGCAAGAATCGCTAACTTCCTGAGAGTTGAGTCAGTGGGCCTCGGAACTAGTTAAGAATTGCCACAGAGCTTGGTCAGCAGAGCCTGGCTTTATCATCTTCCTGAACATGAGGCTCACCTGGAATGTTTGTGTAGGGTCCTGAGGAGACACCCATGGTGGAGTCTTGGTGAGGATCAGGCCACACACTTCTTCTGTGTACCCATCCGTACACCTGTATCTTTTGTGTGCATCTCACAAACTCACGGTAAAGCTATGAGAATTTTAGAAACAATAGGATCTTGGCTTCCTTCAGAAAGTGGTCCTAATCAGGATGGGGCTTTGACTTTGTTCCATTTGGCAGTCCTGACCACTACGCTCCTCTGCTTTCTAATTCTCATGGGTAGACCTTATGACAGCTCAGTCTGCTGGCCTCCTGAAGGATTTCAGTCTGCCACATGCAGGTCAACACAGGGCTTTGCCCTCTCCTCGGAAATGCCTTCCCTGTGCCTCTCCAACACAGCACCTGCTTATTGCTAAAAGTAAGAGCCGGTGCCCAGAGAGGCTTCCTCTTACCTGACGACCTAAGCAGTCTTCCAACTCCCAACCTCATCCACCCACTACTCATAGTTTTCTCCTCAGCACTTACCATTCTTTAATAGTATATATTCAAGCATTTACTTATAACGTATACATTGTCTTCATTTGGCAGGGGCTCTGCCTTCTTAACCATTGTCTTCCAGCATCTCAGATACATTGCTGTCTGATTGTGTAAATAAGTGCATGAATAAATGAACAAATGAATGAAGTATTAGTTACAATGTTTACCACAGTAAATCAAATCTCTCTCTCTCCTGTGTATGTGTGTGTGTGTGTGTGTGTGTGAGAGAGAGAGAGAGAGAGAGAGAGAGAGAGAGAGAGAGAGAGAGAGAGAGATCAATATCCAGTATCTTTCATCAATCACTCTCCACATTGCTTTGTGAGACAGGGTCTCTCGCTGAATCTGGAATTCACCAATTTGACTAGACTGGCTGTTCAGTGGGATTCCCACATCTTCCTGTATCTCTTTCCCCGGCACTGGGAGTATAGGCATAAATCGAAACACTTGGCTTTTACAGGAGCTTTGAGGACCAGGTCCCTGTGCTTACAGGGGAGGTAGTTTACCAACTGAACCACCTTCCAATGCTTTTAAATACTAATGAGGATAACGACATTATTATTATTATTATTATTATTATTATTATTATTATTATTATTATTGAAGTAAACAGAGAAAACAGAACTCATTGTGAAGTCTATCTACCATGGCAACCCATGGCCAGATTTGGGATCTGTCTTCCTGTGGCTGCCTCTCTTCACTTAATTTCCTTCCTGAGCCTGCAGGGTAAATCTCCTCCTCTGTTGCTATTTTTCTTTCTTTCTCTCCGGTCTTTGTTCCTGAGAGCCCAGGGCTCCCTCCCTACAGTAAGCTGTCATGACAAGGAACACCCTGGCAGTAGTGATTGATGGCAGGTGAATGACTCCCAATGATTTTTCTTTGCGCCTGTGTTTATTTAGCAGGTTTAAGTTTCATTTAATCCCAAGGAAAGGTCCTAGATACGGACTAGAGGTCCACAGAAAAGGCCTGCAGGCTTGGCTTGTGTGCCAGAAGCTCAGAGTTGCTGGATTCTGATTCTTATTCAGCAGCACCTAGCCCACCCACTGGGCTTAGTTCCTATTAATTCTCAGACCTGCCCAGGGTTCCGGGGCCCTCGGTTCCCTCCTGACTGCCCAGAAGACAGCCTCACACTCCTTGCTCTGTGCCCACTCATAGGGCAAACTGGGAAGTTCACAGACATTGCCTCACTGGTCCTATTTAGGCCACTTACTAGAGACAATAGGGTCTCAGACTCCAGGGACACCGGAACAAGTAAGTGCTGGACAGCCACATAGAAGAAAGTATATAACTGATGTTTCCAGTCCACAGGACAATGGAACCCACACAGCAGTGAGTGTTTGAGACACATTCTAATGTTCAGAGCATGGCCAGACTTAGCAAGTGGACTCCAACCTGGCACAGGACAGAGGTTTCACTGTGAACTGTGGTGACTGATACTCCAAGTGTCAAAGGTACAAAATTTGTTTTCTGTTAACTAATCTAATCTTTAAAAGGTTTTGCTCTGGATAAAAAGCAACCTAGCAGCTCCCCAGCCCTTGACCTTGGAAACCTGACCAGTAATTTCTCCTGAGGTTTTAAAGATAATTTACAGCTTTATTTTCTTTTGATCTAGAAAACAAAGGTTCTCCTGGAAAAGATTGTTTTTATATAGAAAACATGGCTAGGCAAAAAGAAAGAGGCAGAAATCCTCCCACAAGTCTGCCACATCCAGGGAAACAACTACGATCTGCTTGTGAAGTTGAACTCCATTCTGCTTGCAAAGCTCAGCTGTGTTTTTAGTCTTTGCTGTGACTTCTCAAGCTTTTGTAGAAAACGTGCAAGAGGGACACACACCTGTCAGCAGAGAAGAAGTGCAGAGGAATCACTCTGGGCTGTGTTGGAAGTGGATAGGAAAGTCAAGGAGAGTGTGCTCGGACGGGCCGGCTTCCTAGGGAAAGGGGAGTAGGGTGAGAGGCTATCCCTGTGTCGGGGAGAGGGGAAGGAAAGGGCAATGAGCCACTGGGCCTCACACCACCTTGGCCAGCTCACATGTGTTCTGTGATCACAACTTCCAATGGCCTCCTTTGCCCCCACCCAGGTCTGTGGAAATGGATGTTTACAGATCTAGAACTGTCCCTAGTTCAGTAGGACAAAGGTGACCAACCCAGCCCAGGAGAGTGACCATAGTGTTGTTAAATATCATCACAGTCATTTTTTAATGTTGGTCCCCTCCACTGAGGAATCTGCATGCATCTAACTCACCTTGGGATGATGTTAGGAGGACAAGAAGGGCTTTCTTTCCCAGTCAAGTCCTGTGACTCACGAAATCCTAGACTCACATAAAAGAAAACACTGCTATGCCTTCTATTAACTTTACTTAGCTGAGTGGAAATTAGCTGGTTCTTCTCTGCCGAAGATGGTAAAGTGTGCAAGTTCAGAGCAGATGCATTTGGAACTTTTGGTGCAATCAAGTAAGATGCATTTCCAACTGCATTTCCAACACTCCATGTTAGAGAAGACAATCCCAATTTAGTCAGATAGCACATATGCACGTATGTGCACGCACACACACACACATCACTGTGGGTGCAGTCAGACCAGTCTCAGGATAGTGCCTCACACTAAGAAAGAGTTAGGACACCTGGAAGGCTTGGAGGTGGCACAATGTCACCTCTCCATTTGGCACTCAGGTGTCACTCACACTCCTTTTCAGAGCTTGGCCCACTTGTGGTACATCTGGCTTTTAGTAATACCTTAGGAACAATGTAGATTGGTGACTAATCAAAGGGAAAGGGTAGTGTCCCATTTTCCTCTCTTCAGGAAGTAAGGCTTGACATGGAAACTCCATGGAGGCTTCCAGCAGCACAGAGACCAGGTCATCCACAGTCATTATTTGAAGGACAAACGCTCCACTGATTGGTTTGCCTCCACCCCCTCTTTCTCTCCATTTCCTCTGTTTCCCCTCTTTTCCTCTTTCTTCCCTTCATTGCCCCTCTACTCTGAATCTCTCTCTAGTGCCTTCTAAATTAATCTTCCAAATGCATTTGTGGCCCTTATGCCTTTCCTTCCTTCCTTCCTTCCTTCCTTCCTTCCTTCCTTCCTTCCTTCCTT